GTGCACGCTTTTATAGTAAATAACAACAATATATGTATACTGTTAATTATTATGCGTAGTGGTTGACATTACTGTTAGTGACATGTCGGTCGCCTGGTTTCCACCCACCCGTCATGTCTCACAGGTTGGATCACTGATGTCTTCTACAACTCTGAAATGATAAAAATGAATCACTTTAATGGTCCTATCAATTCTATTCAATGAAAAATTACATTGCTCTAACACTGCCATTAATTTACCTGAGTTATCTCCTGCAACATAACAGAGTTAACTGACATGTTGTATATGTGAATCCATATCTCCTCACTTCCTCATCCCTAAGACATCAAATATGTAACAGGCTTATTCAATAGAATTACCTCCATTTTAAAGTTTGAGCGACCATGTGATGAGGAAGCAAACTGCTAGAGAAGATGAGGAAACATGCCTGTTACACATGCTGCTCTTCATTGCTCTGCACTGCCTGGTTGTTCTGGGCTCTGGTTATATTCTGTCACATTAACGTTGGGATAGAGGATATGTTGACAGAGAGAGGACATTGCACATTGAGACTGTAGGGCTTTTCTAAGGCTGGTGGCATTGGGACATGAAGACAAGTGTGTATCTGTGTGTGTGTGTGAGCGCGTGTATAGAAGAAAAGGGTTGCCTGTGGAGCGGAGCATGTGGATGCCCACCCACTCAGCAGCCTCGCGGCCCTCGTCATTTCGCATCAATCCACAGCCCCTCAATATAAATAGGACAGGCGTCCTAAAGCTATGCTGTACTAAGAGAGGCAATGGCATTATGCATCGACCCTGGGCCCCTCAGCTTGAAATATGACTATACGCCAGCCTGTTGTAATGGCAGTTTCCCTCTAACTTGCACACCACTCAGTTAACAGGGCACTATTTTGGCAGTTAGTATGTACGTGAAATGAAAGTACCAGCAGACATCAATGAAACTGCAACTTTGGAAACCAACTTCAATTTTTAACTGAGAAAGAAGCAAAAATGTTTTCCCAAGAGTTAATTACTCTATTTTTGTTTCACACACTGTACACAGTTAACGAAATTCTTTACAGCACTGAGTTGCACTTTCAGTTTCATTACGGGACATTCACGTCCGCACCCCAAACGCATGGATGTATAAAGAGAACTGGACACAGCGTTGGAGGCAGGGCCCTGTTCATTCCAACGAAAGTGGCTCAGTGGCGCATTAACACAAAAAGTTAAGCTGCGCATATAGAATTCATAGTTGTGTAATACCTAGATACGCCTATTCAGTCCCACAGAGTTGCTCACCTGGTCCTAGCGTATATGCCAAAAAAAACAAACAAACAAACAAAAAAAAAAACATTCTAACTTCCAAGTTTACTTCAGCAGTATGCGGCCGTTGAAGTGTTTTTCCAACCATCGGCGCCTGTGAGTTCCCGCTCATTGACCTCACGCTGTGATAAAGCCACAGATTTTTAAATCATTTTCCTTGGCTCTAGGAAAGTTTTGCTAATATAAAACCTCCATGAATCATATTCATAACAGAAAGAGTTAGAATTGACCTTGCAGTTTGAGGTGTCCTGTCAACAGTTTTACAGATGTCTCTTTTGTAATCATGGTCTATGGGGAAAATGCTCAATGGGGCACAGGGGATTTTTTCACTGCGATGTGATGAGTGTCAAATGGGGAAAATTGGCAGTAATGCTGAGCAGTGTTCCCAGAGACCTGAGACAATTACCCTGATGATCAGCACTGTTTCCACACTCTCTGTGGCTCATAGAGCAACTACTTCCGGTTTAGAGCTCGGCTTATTTGAATGGGGATGAAATTATTAAAACCGATGTTATCGGACCCAGTGAATCAAATCCCGACAGTGAAACACTTTGCGGGGGTTGAGACACAAAAAGTTATCAAGTGATTTACAGACATCTCTTTCGCTAAGACAATGGGAAAAAGTATTTTTTGGGCCACAGGGCATCATGTGACAGATGTAATTACACTGTTTGGCCACTACAAAAATTGGCTTCAAAGACCAGCGCACTTCCTGGGGGTCTGCTCAAACTTAAGGAAAGCATGCTGGAAAAATGCCAGTCATTTTTTTTCAATGCAGCACTTAATTCATGGATAGAATTAAGCAAGAAGGAACAAATTGTCTGTCTGTTTTGGTCCAATCTGAAATGCGAACAAGTAAAGTACTGAGCACAATGGACCAACTTATTCCATCTGGTTTCACAATTGTTTAAGGGTGAAGTTTTTTAACTTGATGAATTTTATAGAAAGTACAAAGTGGGCTAAATATGTGAGCAAATGCGTCTGGGCTGTAAGGAACTGAAGGTGGTGCACTAAAATAGAGAGTACAGTTCCAATAGCTTCCCCGTGGCGTCACAGAAGCTTCACACTTCATTACTGCAAGGCCAGCGACGTGTGAAGCCATTATGTAGGAGCAGTGGGAAGGGGAGCGTGTTTGTGTGCGTGTGTGTGTTGGGGGTATAACTAGGGGGTGCGGAGTGTATGTGTGTGTGTGTTTGGAGGGGCGGAAAGTGTGTGTGTGTGTGTGGGGGGGGGGGGGGGGGGTCAAATAATAACCCCCCTTGCTCAAAGTGATTTCTGGAAGCAGGATCAACCCATTCACATGGAAACATTGTTTAATGTATTCAAACAGCTGGGAGGTGTTGTCTGTTGTCCCAGTGTCAAACGAAAGAGTACGAACAAACAGCTGGCAGGGCATTTTCTTTACTCCACGGCTCTGCTTACATCTATACTTTAATAAACATACTCTGATGCACATGCATGGAGCAATTTGCAATGAATCACATACTAAATAAGCTCCAAACTAACTGTCATGCAACTAAATCCAAGAGTCAGCTTTATCCTCCTTTATCATGAGAGAGGAGTAAACAAATCGGTGTCCTCTACTTCCACCCAGTGGCAAAAAGCAGAATGTCACACTCGTTCAGGCTATTCTTGAAAACATATCTTTATGTCATCTGTGCCCCAATTTACACAGGCAAGGATCCCGGTAATGAAAAAGTTAGTGTTTAATGGTAAAAAACAAATGCAATCTTCAGCAACTTGTCACTTTATGTTCCAACTTTTAATTTCACAGTGCCAATGATGTGTTGCACCAACGCTCTCACAGGTTTACAGTCAAACAAACCTTCAAAGAAGTCATCCTCTTATTTAGATGTGAAACAAATACTATTTCAGTACTTTGATATGTTGTGATGCTTATGTTCTGCCAAAGGCTGTTTGATTGCCAGCTGCCCACTGAATTTAAAAAGAATAGCTGATTATTTTGAAATCAGCATTTCAATTAGACTAGAACTGGCATGCCCAGTGCCCAAAGCCTACGAGTGAGTGCACAAGTACTTCTGTTAACTGCGGGACAATCGAACATTAGTTTTCAATCAAGAACTTTGAGATTCGTGGCAGTATCCCAGCACGCTTTATGTGACTGCCAACACTAGGCTTTTAGCACTGATTGAAATTTTGGCTGCTGAAATTAATTTAACAAGCCAGACTAGCAGCATGACAAAGTTTTAGCAGCCATTTTAATTAAAATGGACAGTTGACAAGACCTGTGTCCATAGACCACACGCTGTAATGTAGCGTATGCATACAGGGGACAAAGCAGATACCAAAATTCCTTAATGTAGAACACGTAGACATCCAAGAGGGGCAATAGGAAGATGTAGGTGTGGAGGTTTGGTAGGAAGAGAGGAAATTAAACACACAAGCTGCCTGTGAAGACACCACAGCAGGAACATGGGGAACGGATTTGGGAAGCCAATACCTTTGTCTACTACAAGGGAAATCTTAGATGTGAGATAGATATGCTGAGGTCAAACAAGAGCCTTTATCCATATTCATCCAGAACAACTTACTTTTTAGACACAATCTGACTGTGAGAATAGGCTACAAACTTTACGGCTGAAAATGGAGAAAACGACAACTGAGAAAATTCAACATAACTACTGGTTAACTAATATAGAAACAGCCCACCATTTTAAAAACTTCCCTAATGTTTTGAGTAGGGTTGCAACGGTATCAGATTTTTAAGGTACGATAACTGTCTCAGAAGATATCACAGTTTCACGGTATAGGTATTATCAGATACAATGAACCTTAAAGGTGTAAAAACAGGAGGTTTTTTTAAACAAACACTTTATTATATTTTAAACCATTTTTAAAATTGAAATATGTGTAAAAAGTCTGACAAGCAGTGGAGGAGAAAAGAAAATGTGCACCAGGTGAGATTCTCTCTGTCTAGTTGCATTTTATTCAAATTTACACAGTACCATACCGTAAATTTTATACCAATATTTTACATTTATTTTATGTATGTAGCCTATTTATTTTTGCCTAAATTTGATTTAACCAGGAATAGTCCCAGTGACAATTCAAAATCTTTTTTCAAGGGAGTCCTGGCCAAGACAGCAGCATGAAGAATTATAGGCTACTTAGAAGAACTAATAGACTAAAAACACAGCATTAAAAGTTAAAACAAAAGAAATAAAATTCACAAATAAAAACAAGCAACAGACTTAAAACAAACAGCCAATTTACGACATACAGTTAAATTAGCTGCATTCAGCAAAGATACACGGTTTCACGGTAAGTTAACTGTTATATCGTTGCAACCCCGAGTGACTTTTGGCCTTTTACAAGAAAAACAAAGTGTGTTGCATAAATGCACGAACTATGATTGATGATTACAGAAAGTAACGTCTGAGATAGACTACACCATCAACTGAAACAAGAAAACTGTAAATGTACATGTTTAGTTAACTGTATTAATGTTACTTACACTTTCTCTTCGAGGTCTTTTTTTGTGTTGGGACTTGACAGCTAAAAATACTTTGTCGGCTGCTATATTCGTATATATAAGCTAATTAAAACACCACTGCCAACATGGCTTAGTTAAGTAGACGGTTACTTGTCGTTTGTACAAAAAAAAAAAAAATCTGAAATATGAAACACGTCCAGTTTGCATTACCTTTTTTTGACAGGCAATGAGAAAGGACAGCCGTACGTGCGCCGCCGAAAGACCCCAGAGGGCCAAGATGGCTGCGCCCGTGACAGACGCCGGGGAGTTTGAAAGCTGGCTAAATGATCGGCTAGACTCGTTGGAAGTGGACCGTGAGGTGTATGGGGCGTACATTTTAGGGGTGCTGCAAGAAGAGGAGAGTGACGAGGAGAAAGAAGATGCGCTTCAAGGGATTTTATCCGCATTTCTGGTGAGTAATCCAAAGCGGCATGTCCCGCTCAGACACCGAGGCTGTGCTTTCTCATTTGTTGCTGTCCATCTTGTGTGCCGGGCGGTGCGAGTGACAGCGCAGATTTCAGCCGGCATTTCGTGGGAGAAATATCGACGGTAGACGCGACTGTGTTGCTTCAATGAACGTCTAAACACCACCGGCAGTCATATAAGCTGTTCGCTCCTGCCATGTACAATCCTATTCAGCAACACATGAATCAAAACCTAACACACTCTTGAACGTGTTTTGACATATTCGGCTACAAAGAGTGCTAACAGGTAGAGACACATGTTGGGAACTGGTTAGCTATGTGTATCCCTGTGTAGTTATACTGTAGTGCTGGTGAATGCACTGTAGTATCTAATCTTATATGTGTGTGTGTGATGAGCTTTGGCAGACTGTCCGTTTACCAGCTGTTATTCTGTTATTAGCTCATGAAGGGGTAATCCTTACTGTTCACATAATTTCCATAATGCATGATATGTGTATGTGCTGTCTATATACACTGATCAGCTCAAACATTAAAACCATGGACAGATGTTACGGTGGAATGTTCTGCTGTGAACTTTGGATCCTGGCATTGGTGTGGCTCAGACCAAGTACCCCTCTCATGGCAGAGGCACTCCTTGATGGCAGTGCCCCCCCAGCTGGTCAATGCACCCTGCTGCACCATAAAAACTGCTCAGGAATGGCCTGAGGAATGTGACAAAGAGCTCAAGGCATCAACCTGGCCTCAAAATTCAACTGATTCCACTCTGATTGAGCATCTATGGGATGTGCCGGTGCCCCAGAGGTACCACCGATCCATGCTAGGGCCTCTTTGTGTAGGACTTGGCCCTGACCTGTCGAGGCATAGACACAGGACCTCTGGGGGTGTCCTGTGGCGTCTGGAACCAGGGTGTTGGCGGAGGATCTTTTGAGTCCTGTGGGTTGTGAAGTGGGGTACCAGCATGTCCCACAGATGCTCAATTAGATGTGGATCTGGGGAAGTTGCAATTCTGCTGGAGGGGCACTGCCATCGGGGAGTGCCGTTGCCACAAGGGGGTGTACTTAGTCTGCAACGGTATTTGGATGGGTGGAGCGCATCAAATGGCATCCACATGGATGCCAGGACCAAAGGATTCCCAGCAGAACATTGCGTTGTTACAAGATAATCAATGTTAAGCATTTCACCCACCAGTGGTTTTAATGTTGTAAAAACTGTTGTAATGGTGTATATCCTCCTGAATACTGCCTCTGGTAGACAAACCACATATGGATTATAGTACCACTGTATGCATCATGTGCTGGTTGTGAATGAATCCAGTGGGTGCTCATCTGTTAAGCCTCATGTCATACTAACAGGCTGTGATGAAATTTGGCCTTAAATAACCTGTTTGGACAGTGAGCTGCTGTGTGTGTAATGTGAGCTGTTATTTGTACTTAGCTGTTATTTGTCTTTTGTTTGCAGGATGAGGACAGCGTGGAAATCATCTGCAAACAGATCATCAAGCAGTGGACAGAGTGGCGCAACAAATCAGCAGCCAAAACTGATGCTGACGATGGTATTTGTGTAACTTTGATTCACCCACATCCACAATCTCATTGAAATGAAAGATGTTGTGATCATGTCAGCACAATAAAAGCTCAGATTAAGTTATCAAGTTCGGCCTTTACAAATCTACATACAGTAAGTTGAATAGTTATGTAAGAGTAAAGTTATGTAGTCATATCAGAATCCACGTAAGTATTTCAAAAGTCCAAAAATAAAGCCAGCAGGCTCATCAACTCATTTAAATCTTGACTAAACAGAGCAAAGACAGCTTGCTACTGAGTCTGTCGTTAATACCAGTTAAACATACACAGGGATTAGCTCTTTGAGTTTTAAATCATTTGCTTTGAGTTTGGAGCAGAGTGCACAAAGACACTTTTGTCTTGCGGAGAGATTAACATTTCCTGAATAGAATCAACAAAAACAGTTCCTGAGACTGCAGAAAGTTCTGCTAAAATGTTTATGCCAAGAAGTGAGTTTGCTTTGTCAGTGTATTACTGGAGAGAGATTGTTTACTATGTACATAACCAGAAGGATGTGTATGCTGTGTAGAGTCTCAAGCTCAGATGGGCACCCTAGTAGCTCCTTCTGTTAATGTACCTTCATATTATATAAGAATATATTTAAATATACTTTTATTGGAAGTAAAGGTTCGACATGTTATCATGGTTTATTCTCAGTCTGGCTGTGTTCTGTCTTTGCTTTCCTGTAGCTGAGGTCCAGGCCATCGCCAGTATGATAGAGAAACAAGCTCAGATTGTGGTGAAGCAGAAGGAGGTGTCTGAGGAGTCGAAGAAGAGGAAAGAAGCCCTCCTCGCTCAATACGCTAATGTAACAGATGAGGAAGAATATCCTTTTTTTTTTTTGTAAATTATAATTTCATTTTAATAACCAATGTTTGACAATATAGAGAGCCTGTCCATAAACATATTTATCAGATTAAAGTATTTTATGTTCCATGATCCTTAAAATGTGAGTTCTTTCCTTGACAAAAGCACTGAAGCTGAAGAAGAGGAGCCACCAAGTGGAATTAACCCCACAGGAAATGATAAATGTATCCTTTCTACAGCTGTATACAATCAGAAGCTGTTTAAAATCACATGGAATTCAGTGTTGCAAATCGCAATATGAACGGATGATCCAGTGGTTGCATAACCCTTATTACACAATACACTGTTCCAATCATTTACACTCACATAATGATGTGTGGCAGTGATAAATCGGCAAAGTACTTTTGCTTTTGTCCAGCTTTCCTTTACTGAAAGTGTCAGCCCTGTTTAAGAACACCAATGTGGAAGAGGTGCTGAACAGACAAAAGCAGAAGCGGGAGCAGGCTCGTGAAGACGCTCAGAAGAAGAAGGAAGGGGACAAGATGCAGCGGGAGAAGGACAAACTAGCCAAACAAGACAGGAAAGAGAAGGAGAAGAGACGCACACAGAAAGGCGAACGCAAAAGATAAAACTAAGAGGAAAGACACTTTGTATGCGGAAAGGTTTTGTTATGAGACAACAATGAAAAACTGTAGTCATTGCCTCTTTTTAGCTAAACCTCATTGGCGCATTCAGTATGTGAACGTCTTCATCAGATCCTCCATGTCAGGTGCTTTCACTTCATATGTGTAAACAACAAGTTACTGGATACTGTGCAGATCCAAAATCCTGATGTTTGTTTTCTTGGATACTGAGAAAGAAAGATGTCAAGAAATAAAGCTGCAAATCTTTATATGACGATGATTCTGACAGTCGGTCGATCAAACAAATTATTGCTCATTTAAGTCTCCGCCGTTATGTTATTGCAGCGAGTGTGAAACATGCTTTGGCTGAGCTTTGACACAGTTACCCCTGAAATGATCAAAGTATACACTCGAAACACAAACTGGATTGATCATGGTAAAAGTGGAGGAATGCTTGTAAAGCAACTCAGTCTGCAGAGTTTCTGCTGTTCTCCTCTGTGCCAATATGCCTTTGATTTCTGCACAACTTCTAAGTAAAGGTGAGTATTCATGTCAAACTGTTTTGCTTTCATTTCAATGTTTGTTATACGGTCTATGCATTGTGTCAGAGAATAAAAACACAGGAGCGATTGCTAAATTATACCTCAAATATATCATGTACCATAATCTGAATGTTTATAATGAGGGTCATCATCTTTTGAAATTCATTAAAAAAAACCTTTTCAGCAATTTGGATTGCTTTATTTAAACATTTTCCATTTCCACAACATGTAACAAGAAGAACATACAACATGAACATTAAAATGAGAGGGAATGAAGCAACTCATATTTACAAAGCATCTACAGACTCACAACTCTTCTTCACATACAGCGAGCAAATTCTGGAGGATGGAGGGTGAAAAACTGTTCAGATATTCTACAAATGCCTGATCAAGCCAATCTTCGCAAAAAATAGAGCCTGTTTTCCGAGCAAACAATAAGTTGCTTAGCTGTTTGCCAAAGCTCCGAGCAGGTTAGAACATCTTCAATGGGGAAAACTGAGACAATCTAATGTTCCCCTGTCGGCATCCCGTCCAGTTAGGAAGAGGTGTACTGCTGCTAGAGAAGTGTTGCTTGTCGTTGCTTGTGATTTATACATTTGAATGTAAAACGCTGAATATTTACAGTTTCAGTATCTTTGGTTACAGTTTTAAACTTTTGATCAAATTACAGATAAAACAGTTGATTAACCAGGAAGAGGAAACAGGAAAAGGAAAAGTTGAGTGAACAGACGAAAAATAAAAGTTTCAGAAATTAATTGAAACATTTCGAAAGACATTTTATAATTTAGCATGTTAAAATCAAACTTCAGATATGGAGCAAGTCTTCAAAGACTTAACTGCATCCAGAGAATTATTGTTTAACTTGGCCATGTTACATTTCACTTGTAGTAATATTTGTTTTATGTATCTAATGAAAAATGTGATTAATACATTTAAATTCAAAACATTGAACCTTTTTTCCTCAGAAGTGTGAGTATCTTTGGCACAGTTCAATTCCAAAAATTGCAGAAAAATTACAATTTTTTTTAGGGATGCAACACTCTGTCAGCTGCATTTCTATTTTTGGCCGATAATGTTCTCATGATGTGTTCAAATGCAATCTTGTAAAATGTAGTTTCTGACGAGAAACTTGAATAAATACAGTTGGGGGAGAAACATGTTGATGTTTTCACATCAATGTAAAATGGATATTAGAGAAGAAATTAATTATGAAATATAAGGTAAAAAGACTTTTGCAGCAGTTTTTTAAACATGTTTTTCATGTGAAAGAAGGTTGTTTGTTTCTTAAATGTGTATATCTGAATTTGTGCCCACTCAAAGGTAGCATAATGTAAGACAGAATACATTTAAAACAGTTTTGCTGTTTTAATATAGGCTAATTAAGTTTTCTTTATTTCCCTGGCAAAACAGGGAATAAATAACATCAGAAACATCAGTATCCGTTATCAGCCAATTTGTTATTTCAAACATAGGTATTGGCCCAGAATCCCACAATCCCACAATCCGTGCATGTCTGCTTTTCCTGATTACAGCATTTTAAGGTTACACGAGAAAAACTGAAGCTGCAGATATTAACTGGAACATTTAAGAAAACATTTTAATAACTAGCATGTTCATTTTAAACTACTACCCTTATGATTCAATTATTGCTTGGGAATACTCAGAACTGAGGTTCCATTAAATTCCAATAAATAAGTAAAACGTTGAAGAATTCACTGAACTCTTCCTCATAAATAATGGCTTTAAATACAACAGTGATGAAGCAAGATTGATGTTAATTTGGAACTGAAAATCATGAATGAAATGGAGTTTAGATGCAGCAGGATAAATTACATTTCATGCAATTCCGACTGAACAAACACTGGCCACCTGAAGCTTTTGGGTGCCAAAAAAGTGCAGCCATCATAAAACTGCAAATGACTTATCTCATATTCTGCAATGATCACTGTGTTGCAGGTAAAATGTCACGATAAACTTGCAGGTAACATTCGTTTTTCACCCTGTTGCCTGTGGAAATTTATAATCAGGGCATTCTGGAGGGCTTTGAATTCAATCAAGACCTTTAACTCATGCTTGTTGCCTGCTAAATCATATCTTAAAAGAATATCCCTCAAATGGAGAGGAGCCCCTCTGTGTGTGTGTAGCCTCCCTGGTAACATGGTGGTCCTGCTTCTTGACAGGTTTCGGAAGTGTCATCTGGAGAGCACACCACAGGGCTGTGCAGAGCTTCCTGGTAGTGGCCGCGAGGTCCTTCAGTGCAATGACCAACAGCAGGGTGTCTATGAAACAGAAGCGAGTTAGGACCAGCAGCATTTGGGAGAGAGGAACATATGCCGTCCTCTACAATATGAGTTACCTCTGTCCTCTGTGAAATGAGCTCTCTGTCGCTGGTGTCTGGACATGCTGGCAATCTCCTCCTTGCGTCTTGCCTGGGTGATGCAAAGAGCCATATGATGCCTGCTCAGTGCTGTGTGGATGTTCATATGGAGGGGAGTGTTGCACAGATGCTCCATTCTATCCAGGAGGCCTGCCACCTGCAATACACCAGAAATTAATTTCTTAATGTGGTAGTACAGGACACAGTGCTTATTAATAGGTAAACATAACTGCACATCACTGTTGGAAAAAAACATTTATTTATTGATACATATTGATTCTGAATATTTGAAAATGGTTGATTTGAATGAGTTTTGTTTTTGTTTTTTACTTGCACTTAAGTGCATTTTTGAATGTTTGACTATTCCAGCAGCTTTTGAACATTTGCACTACCACAAGAGGGATAATGTTAAGTTTTAATTATTGTAAATGCCCAAGCAAAAAAACAGAGAAAGCCCCAGGAGACTGCATTGAAGGGAAGTAGTTTTCTCTTGATAAAACTCATGAGTGTGCAAAAATAATGCTGCAATTACCACCTTCAAACATAACAAGGCTGCTGTGACAAAATTCACCTGTAGATGGCAGTACGGAAGCAATTAATTTAGGGGTCTCACCCTTGCTTGTTCTCTCCTCTGATTAACAATGAGGTGGTCGACTCTTGTGGGATTAGGTGGAGTTTTGGGTATGTTAGTGTTGGCCACTGCTGTAGTCCTTCTTCCAGAAAATGTCTTGGTAAGGATGTCCTCTATCTGAAATACAAAACAAGTGAGGAAACAACAACTTAAGTTGTACCACTGCAACATTTTTATATACTTAAAAATAACTAATGAGCAATCACACAGCTAGCAAAAATAATATATGTTGTAATTTGCAGAGCTCATCTTTGTATCATGATATGTGATAAAATGTTTGTATTCCTGACATTAAATCATATTTCAAAAGCATACCCTCTTCCTCTCACTCTTCAAAGTCCTCCACTGCTCCAAACACTCATCCAGGTAGAAGTAAAGCTGGATCACAATTCCTCCTTGATTCATCACCATTGAATCTGCACTGGCTGAGGCCATGTCATGATAAGTGCTCTCTCTTCTGCAGGTCATCTTGTCACTGACACAGGAGCTAGAAGCTCCAGACTCTTTGGCTGACATCGTATCACCCACACCTATGCCAGGAACAACACTTCCATAGGACAGTGTGGATCTAGAGCTGAAATCTGAGGAGTTGATGGGCACGCTGGAGTACCCTCTGGGGTCATTCACAGTATACATGAAAGGTATGAGCTGCTGTGTATTCCCTACAGTGGCCATGCTGTTTTCCCCAAAAAATCTCTGAGACTGCACACTCCCCAGATGGTCAAAGTACAGGTTTTGTGAGAGAGCCTGTTTCTTATCCCCTCTTCTCATGTTAGTGTTGGTAGTGGGTCTTGAAAAGAAGCCTTCTACAAAGCCAGACATATGCACCCCCTTCTTTTCCCTCTGCATCTGTGGCTTGAGCTTGCTCTGTGCAAGGCCCTGTTGGATGTGATGCTCTGTATACTGGTTCATGCTCATGTTAATGGGGAGTGAAGTCTTCTCTTTGTGCATGGCCATGCTGCTGTGGTATTGGTTGGGGAGGTTTAAAGATGCAGAGAATGGCTTGGACGGCTGGAAGTACTCTGTGTTCTGTGGGCTGAAACCAGGTGGATCTTGAAAGGCATCATGTTTACATGTTTGTTTCCTCACTCCTCCATTTATTTCCATCTGCACTGTCCCAAAATCTCCCACCAGCCGTTTTTGTGTCTGCATCGCAGGAGTACTTTGTGTTGACATTGCAGGACTGGTGATTTTCCATTGTTCAACCATGCTGTCTTCATGGTTCATGCCCACTCTCTGCCTGTGAATGTTTGGAAAGTCTCCACGACATAAGCTATCAAGCTCACCAGCCATGAACGACTGAAAACTGCTGACCAGTTGGTTAATGTCCTGTGGCCCATACTGCTTGTTACTGATAGGCTTTGCACTGCTCTGGGTGTAATGGTTTTCATAGGGATTTAAGCATGGGCTGTTCATTTCATTTTGAGATCTAAATACATTACTGAGGTCAGGGAAACTATTCACATGCTGAATATTCCCTCTGTCTTTCTCAGGTGGCATGTTGTCAAATTTGCTTTGTTGTATCTGTGACAAGTAAGCATTTCCTGTCTTGGGTATTGGTAGACCTGGTGGCAGTTTCTGAGGACCGAGGGTGTAGCTGTCTTGGTCACCATTAGGCAAATTAAAAAGCCATTGTTGATTGGCAGAAAGGCCCCTGGACTGTTGATAAAACTCCTCAACATCTTTGTCCTTGGACTGTCTGTGTGCATTATTAAAAGCCTCACAGGTTTCATAGTTTGGAGGAAAGGTAAGATTATGTTGCATTTTCGCCTCTGACTGAAAATACTGTGGCAGTTCTTCTTTCAATGTCTTTGGAGACCAGATCGGATTACATGTAGGTAGGCCCCTGAAAGAAGAATCAAGGACTTTCTTTAATGTCAATTTTTTATGAAAACTAAACAACATGTGTAAAATATATTATTTTTTTTAAACAAACTCTTGATACAGTATATTTTTAGCTGTTCATCTCTGTGGTGTCACAGCCATAAATCATCTAATGCATACTGTAATATATATCCAACCCTACTGTGTCACAACCTTAAACCTTGACATACCCTTCACTGTAGTAGCTGTCCCGTGAATCAGCTTCATCCAAAATATTCGACACCAGACCCTGTAGATCAGTCTCCCCGTCACAGTCAGTATTATCAGTGGGCTTCCTGCAAAAAAAAGAAAACAAAAACAGCTGCATTTTATATTTTATTGTTTCTTTGACGGAATTCATTAGCAGTGTGGCTGACAACTTTATTTGTTTTCCTTCAACACAACACTTACGCCCAATACTACCTCTGAATACCTGAATAACATCCCAAACCTATTTTGATTAGGCAGAAAAGCAGTGTGATTTCCTTACACTGTAACAGGATAGTGCACTGATTGATATTAACACACTAAACCAGAACATAGTCCAAATGGAATACCTGCTTTCAATGCTGCTCTTGGCATAGCTGATAAGGCCATAGGGATCATCATGAGCATTGTTAGACCAGGGTATGTAGGCTGCTGTGTCCTGTTCCTGTATTGAGACACTAGGGACAGCAACCGAGGGCAATGCCATGCTACCATTGCTCCCACCACCTGTATGTGCACTAGCCTAAAAGATAAAGACATAAAGATTAAGCAATCTAACTCACACAAAGCAGACTGATGCAAAGAACAAGACTTTTGGCAGATGCCACAGAAACTTTGTAAATGACAAATAAGAAAACATTTTGATCACAAAGTAATCAATTAAATTGTGAGGATTTGCTGAATTTTGTTTAATATTTTTGTATCCCATACAATATCAAAATGTACCAGTTTTACTGCATGTTACATTGGTGTACTATATTCTATTATATTATTACAACAAATATTGAGAATCATATCATATATTAGTCCGTGTAGACTGTTTACATAGACCTGTTGCCTGAACTGTTAATCACACCACTGTGGCTTTATCAGCATCATTCATGTTAATAATAATAACAACAATAGTAATAACTTTATTTGACTGCACCATTATTATCATTGCATTCTTATGTCAGTCTATATACCTCTTATCTTATCTCATCTTATCTTGAAGAGAACATTTTGGGTTTTTTTTAAGACATAGCCTTTGGCATTAGAACATTATGGTTTTCTCTATTTTCGGGTATTTCACAGGCCATAGCACCAATGGAGAAAATAATGAACAATTAAAATAATCGTTTGCTCTAGCTTCAGAGATAACAATCACAAAAAAAACTTAACTAGGTTTCTGCTATGAACTGAGATTAAAATAATGGCCGAGCTAACGTTAAAAGTTAAGCGATCAAAGGCCTGATCTACTTCCGTTCCAGATTTTAACTTTCTGAGCATGGTAACTACAATAGATGAATCAAAAGTTTATAATAGTTTTGTATTCTATAATCCACCCATTACACATGTGTATGGCTACTACAAATACCCCATGACAAATAAAGAATACCATAGCTATGACCATGCAATTACAGCTTACCTGATGCTGGTATGAGGGAAAGAGTGAATTTGCAAACATGCTCTGATGGCCGTCAAGAGCCATTCTGTGCTCCCTTGAACTTGATCTGATTCCTCTCTCCATTGCTGGTCTGGTGAGACACAATGTACTCATTGTTAATATTGGAAAAACCTCATATGGCAGAAGTTTGGGTTCACATAGTCATTATTAGCTAGCAAACCGCTACTTCAGAGGAGTGCAAATCAATTAGCTAACTTCGCCATTAAACTAAGAGGTTAACGTTAAGCTAGCATGCTGCCTTGGCTAATATGGCCTAAACTTTGGCCCTAATTAAAACTGCTTCCCTGCTCGTCAAATTTGGTGAACTTCGCAAAACAAATCACGTTATCTGAGTAAAATACGACAGTAACTTACCAACGTAATTTAAGCAAACGGAAACTTTTGGAGCTTAACGGTTCTCACGGCAGTTAGTACGTTACCCTCAAGTGCTCTCGTGACCCCTCAGCTCGAGCCCGTAAAAGTTTGATCCTGCCCTCGCGACCTGAGCGCCCATTGGCTGAGGTGTTCTACTTTTATCCAATACACATCAAGCAGGAGATCCGGGCGCATAGCAACGCCTGGTGCCACACAGGTGCCAGGGGGTCCTGTTATCCATAAGGAATAGAAGATATAAATTCAAAGGAATTACAATATGTACACATGCACTATTTATACTTTTTTTGTTGTTATACTTTACTTTCTCTTACTCCCAAAATGCATTTTGCATATAATGACATCTTTTTTTTTTTTTACTTTCTTGACGTTCCATTGCATTGCCTTATTTGCAATGTTTTGTACATACATACCAAGGGTTCATTTGCAATAGCAGATTAAATCTATTTCTGAGATAAATAAATGAACACTAGTTTAAATCATCCCTTAAGTGCAAAATAGAAAACCATAATTTAGTAAGATTTTTTTCTAGATATTTTATCAATACATCCCAACAGGAGTTTAATAGCTAATCCCCGTTTAGCAAACATGATTTAGGATGAAAAGATAGCAGTGCACACAACTCCAGAAATCGTAGACAATGTAAAAAAATGTGGCAAAGATCAGTCATAGTACACTTCACCCTTTTAAAATGGCAAAAATGTACAAATGTACAGACATGGACACGTTTCAGCTATTGTTTTGTCATCAGCATGACGAAACACAGTGACTGGCAAATTTCACAAGTGAAGTTCAACATGATTTAGGGAAATATATAAACGAATATATCTATTTTTTTTTTTTTTTTTTTTACAAATATAGGCTTTGCAGATTGATTGGTTAATAACTTTTTTGGGAAATTTTGATGAGGAATATGAACATGACATGGAAGTTAAAGTACACTGCTGGGACAGTCTATCCCCTTCTCCCCCCATATTACTTCAAGGGGAATTTGAAAGCCTCCCTGGGCCACGCAATCCAGCTGTGGGGCAAAGTTGGACAACATCTGCAGAATACCACCACCAATCACCTTCGAAATAAAAGCATATATTTCACCAAAGCGTCAGTGCCATACATTGTATATAAAGTCTATGGTTGGTGTATATAAAACGTAATAGGATCATTGCATTTTATTAGAATTTGATAATTTCAGTACTATCAACTTCTAATTAATATAACTGATGTTGTAATTTGACTTGTATGTTCTGAGTTAATTTACTGGATTAATAGATGCAGTTGACTATATTATTATTATTATTATGCCAATAGAAATAACTTCACGATTCACATTAGTTTTAATTTTAATAGTCTTCAAAAACCCATTGAATATGGGTTCGACTCTTGACGAAAACTATTAAATATTAGTCATGCTATGCTGATACCTCGGCATAAGTACTGTTTCTGTTGTTTTTTTTCCTCAGTATAAATATGCATCATGTATGCTTTTATTTTGAAAGCCATCACCGGAAGATATGTGTCTTTTTGAGGCTGCCTTGATGGTGTCGAGGGACTCGAAGTTGTGGAAAAGAAAAAAGTCAGCGAGCAGTGTTCAATGCGGAGACCCAGCACTCAGACAGCAGCGTTCAGGTCTTCATCGCTAGAGTTCTTCACTTTTGTAAGTTATTTACTCTCGAAACCTGCTTACAGGACTGATGAGACACACTAAACAAGTTTAAAGTTGGTGAATCGGACGAAAGTTGCTGCCTTAAACTCGGGAAGATGAGTTTTTGCAAGACCTGGTGTGTTACACTCCTGCTGCCTCTGCTGATATCAGGCCAGTATCAAGGGGACAACGGGATAGTTGTCCCGGAGCATGGATTTTGTCAGCCAATTTCAATCCCTCTGTGCACGGACATAGCCTACAACCAAACCATCATGCCAAACTTAGTGGGCCATTACAACCAGGAGGACGCAGGGCTCGAGGTGCACCAGTTCTATCCACTTGTAAAGGTACAGTGCTCTCCGGAGCTGAAATTTTTCCTGTGCTCCATGTATGCGCCTGTGTGCACAGTGTTGGAGAAGGCCATTCCTCCCTGCAGGTCAATCTGTGAGAGAGCCAAGCAGGGCTGCGAGGCACTCATGAACAAGTTCGGCTTTCAGTGGCCGGACCGCCTGCGCTGCGAGAACTTCCCTGTGCTGGGAGACGGACAGATCTGTGTCGGCCAAAACGACTCCTCCGCCGCCACCGTCCCACCCATCATACCTCATGGGACCGAGGACCTCTCTATGGTCCCCACACAGGGCAGGTTTTTCCGCTGCCCGTCTGTTCTGAAAGTACCACCATATCTGAATTATAAGTTCCTAGAGGAGAAGGACTGTGCAGCTCCCTGTGAGCCCCATAGGAGGGGTGGGAACTTGTTTTTTACTGAAAAAGAGATTCATTTCTCCCGTATATGGATTCTGGTCTGGTCTGTGCTTTGTTGTGCATCTACATTATTCACAGTGACCACCTATTTAGTTGACATGCAGCGGTTCAGATACCCTGAGCGACCCATCATCTTCCTGTCCGGCTGCTACACTATGGTCTCCGTCGCCTACATAGCTGGCTACTTCCTGGGAGACAAAGTGGTGTGCAATGAGAGCTTCACTCCAGATAGCTACAAAACCATCGTCCAAGGCACCAAAAAGGAAGGTTGCACCATCCTCTTCATGATGCTCTACTTCTTCAGCATGGCCAGCTCCATCTGGTGGGTCATCCTTTCTCTCACCTGGTTCCTGGCAGCAGGTATGAAGTGGGGTCATGAGGCTATTGATGCCAACTCGCAGTACTTTCACCTGGCAGCCTGGGCAGTGCCAGCCGTCAAGACCATCAGCATCCTGGCCATCGGGCAGATTGAGGGTGATGTGCTCAGTGGCGTCTGCTACGTCAGCCTCAGCAGCCTGGACCCTCTGCGAGGCTTTGTGTTGGCCCCTCTCTTCATTTACCTCTTCATCGGTACCTCTTTCTTGTTGGCCGGCTTTGTGTCGCTTTTCCGAATCCGCACCATCATGAAGCACGATGGCACCAAGACGGAGAAGCTGGAGCGGCTGATGGTGAGGATCGGGGTGTTCAGCGTGCTCTACACAGTCCCTGCCACCATTGTTATTGCCTGCGTCTTCTACGAGCAGGCCTTCCGCCCCCACTGGGAGCGCAGCTGGGTCAGCCATAACTGCATGGGCATGGCCATCCCCTGCCCCCAGCACACTGTGCCCCGTATGACTCCAGACTTCACTGTCTACATGATCAAATACCTGATGACACTGATAGTGGGTATCACTTCTGGTTTCTGGATCTGGTCTGGAAAGACTCTACACTCCTGGCACAAGTTTTACACAAGACTGACAAATGGCAAACACGGAGAGACCACTGTGTAGAGTAAAGGGACATCTAAATGTTGCTGGGACTTCTGTGTGTGTTATTACCTGTTGCTCATGTGAGTGAGAGGTAAGTAGCACAGTGAATAGCTATGGGTTCCTGCATCATTTGTATTTGCCTCAGCTTTATAGCCACACATGCATGCCAAACTTGAGGGTCAGGGTTTGACAAAAGGGCAAGCTGGATAAACAAGGACTGAGCCTGACTGTCTGAACAAATAACAAGCATGGCTATGGATGCCATGTGCTGAAATGCTCTCCCTCCCCCTCCCGTAAAGCTCAGAGCTCAAGGCGAGAGATGATCCAGCAGCCAAGAACACAGAAAGCGAGGGGAATGAGTTTTTCTCCCTGTAAACATTTCATATGTAATTAAATGAAATTGTAAATAGTATTTGTAAAAACATGAAATTATATATTTGTATTTATAGAAAGTAAATACTTTTTCTTATCTGCCAGTGTACCTGCTTTACTCACTTTACTCACTGTAAGAATGCCACATATCGTAAATGTAGACGTGCTCCTTTTTTTATTCATTGCTGGTTATGAATTACATTGTTTTTTATGGATTAAAAGAACATTTCAAGAAGCTTTTTCGGTTTAGCCCACTGTACTGTCACTCCTTTTAACAAGAAACATGTGCTAAGACTTACTCCAAATCAAATACTCCATTTTAAATGCTTAGTTTAAGGGGAAAAGATGAATTGAGTGTTTTTCTTAACTCCCTCCCTTTCTTATGTCCAGTGTTCTGTAGTAACTAAATAGTATCTTGAGAACAAGTTACTTTCTTTTACACAAAAGAATCAGTCACGTTGTTTTCTCAGGGCTCATGTCACACCTGAACATCTGTTGCTGACTGGCAGGCAACAGTAAAAGAGATTATTGGAATTCTTATTGGAAAATTAGCTCCTTACACAAGACTGCAGCCCTCCGGGAAACACAAGGAGTGAGTTTACACTGAGACAATTAAACACACCTCTCCTGTTAATCATCCAAATTGTCAATATAGCCTGATATATTTCACATCTACATGTTTTGTGACTGAGAAACCGGTGCCAACCTGTGGGAATGCCTCCTCACACATGTACACTAACGTCGCCCTCACGTGCCAAACAAAACAAGAAACATTCTCTAGCCTGTTGTTGGAGGGGGGTTAGTTTGAATCAACAAGAATCATCTGGTGAGTGAAGTCTGTGCTGTTGCATAGGTGTGAAAATGTCCCCGCCTGTCTGTCTTGGCAAAGTGAAAACACGGGTGTTCAGGTTTGCTGTGGTGTTACTGCTCTGGAGCCACTGTTTCTCCGTGCCAAGTTGGAATCCCCCAAGCCATGCACGGCTGAAACAGAACCTTCTCTGCGGTGATGTCATGAAGTAGATGGGTGTGTTGGAGAAAGCTGATCCTCTTGCCTCAGAGCTGAGGCTTTGGGCTAGAAGCAGGCATTTGAGAGTTGCACGCACATAAAGCTCAGTGCTGTGTGTGTGTGTGTGTGTGTGTGTGTTGTTACTACAAACGTTTAGAGGGAGACACAGTCACTATATAACTCTGTAGCTTACAGTAGTGACATGAATACAGCAGAGTCTCACTATCAATGGGCCTCTCTTAAATCTTGTGACCTGTTGGACAAGTTGATGTTTGTCTTTCTTGTATCCTTATCTGGGGTTGAATAAAGAAAGGTTGTAATAACAGACAGGTAAGAGTGATTAAAGGTAGAAACAGATACTCTGAGGGGGGAAAAACCATAAATCTACCCTCTCACACCCCCTCTGCCTCCACCCTTCTTCCCTCTCTCTGCTCAGATGAATTGGGAGAATGCGAGTGAGTCAGTGGAGCGGTGCTGGGCCTTTGCCTAGTGACAGACAGTCTCCTGTGTGCTGCTCACTTCAAAGCACCGCTGAAACCTGACTAGCTCCTTGTAAACAGTGCCGCCTGGCCCGAAGGCCCACTTCCTGCGCTTAACTCAACTTAATGGCTGGCTTGTTTGGCTTTGCACCGAAGCAGAGAAGCAAATGAGGAGCGAGAGAATGAGGAGAAGCGGCATGGGGCGGGGTGCTGGTGGTAAAGAGAGTGAGATTGTTTTAGGGTTTAGGGGGAGGAGGGGTTTGGAGAGCGTGATGGAAAATTCGGTATTATTTGGTTGCTTTTGTCTTTCTCCAGGGGAAAACAACAAAGACGGGAAGAAAATCCAAATGAGGGGACGTGCCTGATTTTGTGAATATTTCAGCTAAAACTTTGGATCGCAGGCTGTTAAAGCTAAATGGAATCAGATGCTCTGCATTTGACTTGTGCCAGGAAAATAAAAGCTTTTCACAAAGTAATTTTCTCTCAGTAAATCTTGATGTGTGGTGGGGAAGTTTTAGATGGTAGACTTCACCTGGTGGCCTTCTCTATACACGCAGAGAACAAAGACATTCAGGTTTATATTTAAAACACTGTGACAAACCTCCTGTATCAAACTTCATACTAAATGTACAAGAGGTGGTAGCTCCCTAGAGTAGATCCTTTTCTCTTTAATGTCGGTGCCCAGTTTTTCAGTGGCAGCCGTCTCCCGTGTTGTTGATCTCAGATGTTAAATCTTGCATGCAGCCGTTTCCTGCTTGCTTGAAGGCAAGAAGGGACAAGCCAAGGATTGGGGGGTAAGACAGGAAGAATGCTCCTGGAGTTGATACTATGATGTCGCTGTTATTGGGAGAAGGCCTTGGCATGTCAGAAAAGGATCATGCTGTTAGTCACAAGCACCAGTGTTCTCACTGCTGCTGCGGAGCCATTGTTTAAGTTTGTGTAAACGTACCATTAACTTGTTTTTTACTTTATAAGAATGATATCAGGCCTTTGAGGGGGCTTACAAATGGACAAAGGAAATCAAGATTGAGGAGAAGAGAAAAAGGGAAAAAAAAAGAAAAAAAAAAACTACTCAGACATGTAGTAAGCCTGTTTCTAATCAAATCTTGGCAAAAACTCAAGTGGAACTCATGCTCTGAAGGCTAACACTGGATTAGTTGTAGTCATACATTATCCTAACCATAGGAGAGCCGCTGAGATTTTCCAGAGTGCATACTATATCTATCTGTCTCGCTCTCTCTCGAAATCTCAACAGGAAGTGCAATATGTTCTTTCTCCTCCTATCATTGCTTTCAGAGGCGGCCACTGTGAGTGGGATGGAGCGTAACAAGTTGGCAGGAGACCGAAGGGTTTAAATGTGCATTTCAGTTTCTGACTTTGATTCAGGGCCTCCAGCCATAAATACTGGTCCTGACAGTCACCATGAGGAGGTGTCCTGATTTCCTCCATTTATCTTGTGTCCACTTTTTTTTTAACTTGACAGCCATTTTACTCTTGGTGAATTTAGAGCCATTTTTTTTTTAACTTTTTTTTTTTTTTTTTTTTTTTTGCTATTTAAGAACTACATTAATAGATACAAACACCTTAACTGGTTCACAGTGAAATATATCTGAAAGAGATAGTTCACCCCAAAATCAAGAACACATATTTTCCTCTTACCTGTAATGCTTTTGATCAGTCTAGATCCTGGGACTTCAACAGGGGGTCCATGATACCATCATATTATTAGCCAAGATAAACTGGCCTATTTATAAAACCACTGTCATTTACAGTACACAACATTAATTATAATGTTTACACATATACATAATTACGGCTAACTGTTAAGTTTTGGGACATTCCTGTGAGCCACAGAAGACTGTTCTGTAACTTTTCGAGCAAGACACTTTGACACACTGACCACCTTCAGAAACAACCATCGAAAAGTGCAGAGGGGGAGGCTAATGCAGCTAGCCATGCTACAACTGCTGCTGACTCGACAGCTACTGGCAAAAGCAAAAGAGAGAAGACTGACAAATATTCAGAGAATTATCTCAAGTGCAACTCAGTTTATAACGTAGTAGGGAGTCCCTGCTCCATCTCTCTTTCAACTAAGGGGTCCTTGGCCTGAAAAACATTGAAGACCCCTGATCTAGATTGCTTTGGTGTGAACTGCTGAATGTTGGAGATATCGGCTGTAGAGATGTCTGTCTTCTCTTGAAATAATGGAGCTAGATGGCACTTGGTTTATGGCGCTCAAAGCGGGAAAAAAAAGAAACATTTGAAAAACTCAACAGCAATGTTTCTTTCCACAAATCACAACCCAGTCACTCAAGATAATCCAAAAACCTTGTTGTAAGCAGTTTCATGTAGGAACTATTTTCTTTCTACCAAACTACACTGAGCTGTAACATTAGCTGGCTCAGTGGTGCTAGGTGAGCTAGCAGTAGATGCACGCTTCCTTCTGCACGGTGATATGTTTGGCTGGAGTACCTCGGTAGACAGTAGTTTCTATATGAAACTGCTCATAATTAGGTCTTGACTGGATCATGATTTCTGGAAAATGACACTGTTGTTCAGTTTTTGAAATGTATTTCTTTTCCGCTTTGAGCACCACAAGCCGAGTTCCATCTTCCATTACATTTGAGGGAATGCAGACATCCCTACAGGCAATATCTCCAACACTCAGCAACTCACACCAAAACAATGTAGTGTGATCAACAGCACAAAAAGTAAAAGGAAAAACATGTATTTTTGACTTTAGGGTAAAGTGTCCTTTAAGGATTTTATTTGTTTTAATATCAACATGATGATTGTCCTCCTGGTCCCTTTAAGGGTTGCATCATGCCGCACAAGATGTCCAGCTGTGATTAAATCGCTAAACTTACCCAGCCTCTAATACCTTATTGCCTAAATAATCAGATCAACATGTGGGCTATACCTTGCAGCAGTGAGCAAGTATAGTAGAAACTGTGGAGAGGAGCTCAGCCCTCAAAGCTTCCATTCTTGGTGGCTCATTTTCATGCCTCATGCACACCATTTGTCTGGGATTTTATTGCTCATAAGTGCACAGACCACTCAGGGGTGGCTTTGACAAGAAAACAAACACTGGTGAAGTCTGACCCTGCAGTGTTTTTTTTTTGTTTTGTTTTTTTTTTTGCCCCCTCCGTCCTTAAGGGCGAGGGTGCAGAGCACTGTATCGGGGCAGAAAGCGAGGGAGTGCCTCAGAGCCTCTCCAGCTGCTGAGCAGAGAGGTGCCGACAGCTGCGTGACAGATATTTTGGGAGCCTGCAGCACGCCTGGGATAATAATGGGCTTGATTGGGAGGAGTGTGTGTGGAGGGGAGGGAATAGTTAATGTGCATCCAGACACCACAGTGTGTACACAACCGTGCCACTCTCATAAACTTTCGGGGTGATGGCACAAGTAGTGAATGACAACACAAGGAGGGATGAGTGAGGAGTGTCTGGGGTTTTGAGCTACTGTACTGTGTCATTGTTTTCTAACTTTTGCATTTTTATTTTAGCAATTTTGTCTATTAAGTTGCAAAGTTTGAACTGAGCAGCCATGGAAACAAGTGTTTACTTGTTGAAATCTTATCTTATCAGGGTATATTATCATGCACAAGAATTTGATTTAAGAATATCTGTGGCTCTCAGACATGAGGCTACTGAGATGGATCACCTTTCAGAGTATGAATACACTGATACCCCAGAGCATTGTGTTTAATGTGTCAGGTTTCATCCATCTGTCTTGTAATGAATCTAGAGTATGT